GGCAATCTGAGGAGTGGAATCCGAGAGAACGAATGACAAGATGGTGGGTGGAGGGCGGATCGGCCATCCTTGTGATGATTGCGGAGCACTCCAAGCACCTAGCTGCGAGTCATGCAACAGGTTTGGGAAATCAGGAGAATAGCACATAAATGTGGGTGAGACTGAGATAATTGTATCACCAAGGAAGGCGATTGGGTATGTCAAAAGCGGTGCTTTATTTCGTACGGAGTTTGTATTTTCATTATGCCGTTTAACCGATTTTCTTGCAAGCCGGCTGCTCTTGTTGTTGACGCTATAGGCGATGGCACCATAGGGTGGGGATGGCTTATATTCAACTTAGACCAAGGAGGGAGTGAAAGCTTTCTCTCTTACCTCAGGCATTGTGAATAAGTGTGTCGGGAGCACAAGTACTGTGTCATCGTATATGCTCAATTTATTGATCAAGTTAACCATCTCTTAGACCTCTCTATGCACGAATTGACAGTTTCGATCATTGTCACGTCTGTGACGGATGGAAAACGCTCCAGTCGCTTGGCCGCATCCATGACAGCACTGAATCCTCGGTCTGATCTGCAAATGCAGAAGAATAACAGTTGAGGTGTCTTTAGGGAAGCTCAGTATAGGTGTCAAATCTCCTCATGCTCGGCTTCATGATAGGAAGAGAATATTCGCTCACAGGAGGGTGACTCGATATGTCTGAGGCAATGCTTTATTGTTCGTGGAGTTCTTTTGTTCTTATTTAATTTTGTGTAACCAGTATTGTCCGGAAAACTGGTTTTACATCTTGTCGTGTGAAAGATAACATTCCGAGATGAAGGTACCTGTCAGATTTATCCGTCAATTGTACCAAAGAGGAAGAACAACCTCCCACTGTACACCGGATATTTTGAGTAGCGGTGTGCGGGGAAGCGTGATTTCATCGCTGCCGCAATGCGGCTGTGGCAAAGTTGTCCACCCTGTAAGATCGTCATTAGTGCCTGCTTTGGTGCTCCGGAATCAACGACCATAGAATCAGTCAACTAGGAGAATGACAGTTGAAGAGATTTCTGGAAAAGTAGTGTTATGCACCTCGTTATGCCGATATTCTTTTCGACTTGCTGAACAAAATGCCCAAAACGAAGGCTTGAGGCAAATCTACCTTGTTCCCTGGGTAACTTTGATATAAGGGAATATTTTTGTGTAGTTTAAAGTGTGAAAGCCATTGTTGCCAGCATTATCTCATCTGATTTACACACAAATATACATACCACCTACTGTCACGCAAAATGTGTATTTAAGCGCTCATATCTATAGTCGTCCTTTATAATTAGTCTAGCGTCGTAATTCGTTCTGGTTTCTTTAGAAGAATGTCGATTGTTTCATGGGCACTGAAAAAGATAGCACAGTTCATCCCAAGCCAGAGAGATGATGAAGAACGCTATCCACCAATCAGCAATAAGGATTCATTTATCCGAATCCGCCTCACTTTGTTGGTAACATTTTTCCGTGTAAATATCCTTTTGTGTTAAGAATGCCTAATATCCAGCGTTCCGCTGACACTTTAAGTAGTTGGGCTGAGCCTCATCAACTGATTTGAGTTGTGAGCCGTGGTGAACCGGCTTATGTATGCTCCTCCTACAGGTTATGGCCAATGTGATAGCAGGTCAACAGCACCACCCAACAGTAGCAGCGCATCAGCAAACCATGACTGCGGCTGCTGCTGCACCGCAACAGATGGGTCAGCATCAAACAGCCTTCTACGCCGCCTATCAACAACCCTACCAGACCACAGTGCAACAGCAAACGCTTCAGCAAGCACAGCAACAACAACAAGCGCAACAACAAGCACAACAACAACAGCAACAACAGTACCAACAACAAGCCCAACGCCAATTGATGCTCCAACACGCCAACGCCGCCTATCGTCCCGTTGTTATGACAGCAGCAGCGGCGGCAGCAGCGACAACGTCCGCGCAGAAGGCGATAGTGGTGCAAGACACTGCCAGTGGCTACCAACAGCAGTTGGCCGCATTCTGCCAGCAACAACAGCAGCAAAGACAGGGCTTTGTTCTAGCCTATCAGCATCATCAACAACAAGCTATGCAACAGGCAGTGGCTGTTGCAACCTCTCTTGAGCAGCAGCGATAGCATTTCCCTTTTATCGTGGCCTCCTTGTAATATCACTAAGTATTACTACTATAAAGGATCTTTTGTACAGTTGAATCATTCCTGGACAGCTGTCTCTGTGCGTGCGTGTGTGTGGGTGTGCGTTTTACCACTCTGCAGCATCGTTTTCAACCATGAATTATTGTTGCATTCGCCTGTCTTAAGCAACCAAGTTAATTTCTCTTCTTCCTTTTTTGTCCCCTTCACACTCGTGCACACACAGATGGGCGCAGATCATCTTGCATTTGACTACCACACACACACACACACTTCATACACACTTGTGTGCTCATCTGTCTCCCCCTCCTACTACTATCACTGATATCAGTAAATTATTGGCAAACTTTCTTTTGGCTTATTCAACACGACGTAATCATCCAATCGGGTTGGTGGAACACAGTGGGTGAAGAAGAGGTGATAAATTGTGTTGCTCGTAGGAACTGACCTTGATGAATTGAAGAATTGGTGCCGGCAAGATACCAAACAAGTGCCAAGCTATTGTGGAA